GACCGGCAAGCTCAAGGGCGAGGCCACCGTGTCCTTCGACGACCCCCCCTCGGCCAAGGCCGCCATCGACTGGTTTGATGGTCAGCTCATTAATTTATTAATTATTAATTAGCGATCCGTTAATTACAGCCTCAAAATCCCTGATTTATTACCCAAAAAACTTCATTTATAACCTCAAATCCCTGATTTATAACCCAAATATTCTGATTTATAACCCCTCGGCCAAGGCCGCCATCGACTGGTTTGATGGTCAGCTCATTAATTTATTAATTATTAATTAGCGATCCGTTAATTACAGCCCCGAAATCCCTGATTTATAGCCCCAAAATCCTCATTTATAGCCCCAAAATCCTCATTTATAGCCTCAAAATCCTCATTTATAACCCCTCGGCCAAGGCCGCCATCGAGTGGTTTGATGGTCAGTTCATTAGATAATTAATTATTAACTAACGGTTCATTAATTAGAACCCCAAAAATCCTGAGTTCTGACCCCAAAATCCTGAATTGTAACTCCAAAAATCCCTTTTTTCCCCATTTTTCCCCCATTTTTCCTCCCATTTTTCCCCATTTTTCCCCATTATCCCCCATTTTTCCCCATTATCCCCCATTTTTCCCCATTATCCCCCATTATTCCCCATTATTCCCCATTATTCCCCATCATTTTTCCCCATTTTTCCCCATTATTTTCCCCACTATTTTTCCCTTTTTTTCTCCATTATTCCCCCATTATTCCCCCATCATTTTTCCCCATTTTTCCCCATTATTTTTCCCCATTATTCCCCATTATTTTCCCCATTATCCCCCATTATTCCCCATTTTTTCCTCATTTTTTCCCCATTATTCCCCCATTATTCCCCATTATTCCCCATCATTTTTCCCCATTTTTCCCCATTATTTTCCCCATTATTTTTCCCTTTTTTTCTCCATTATTCCCCCATTATTCCCCATTATTCCCCACCATTTTTCCCCATTTTTCCCCATTATTTTTCCCCATTTTTCCCCATTATTTTTCCCCATTATTCCCCATTATTTTCCCCATTATTTTCCCCATTTTATCCCCATTATTCCCCATT